AGGAGCAAGGTTTGAAGCTAGCCTGAGCAAACAGTTCTCCAGACCCTATCTCAAAAAAACCCATCACAAAAAGAAAGGACTGGTGGAGTGCCTCAAGGTGTAGTCCCTGAGTTCAAACCCCAGTACTGCAAAAAAAGATTCAAAATGAAATCATGTATCTTTGCTGACTATGATGAAATAAAGCTAGAAATCAATATGAGGAGCTTTACTAAACATTGATCTACCATATGATCCAGCAATACCACTCTTGGGGATATACCCAAAAGACTGTGACACAGGTTACTCCAGAGGCACCTGCACACCCATTTTTATTGCAGCACTATTCACAATAGCTAAGTTGTGGAAACAGCCAAGATGCCCCACTACTGACGAATGGATCAAGAAAATGTGGTATCTATACACAATGGAATTTTATGCAGCCATGAAGAAGAATGAAATGTTATCATTTGCTGGTAAATGGATGGAATTGGAGAACATCATTCTGAGTGAGGTTAGGCCTGGCCCAAAAGACCAAAAAACTTTGTTTCTCGGACCGCATATGTGGACATTAGACAAGGGCAACACAATAAGGGGATATGAACTTTGAGCACATGACAAAGCAAGAGCACACAAGGGAGAGGTGAGGGAATAGGTAAGAACCCAAAAAAATTAGCTAGCATTTGTTGCCTTTAACTCAGAGAACTAAAGCAGATACCTTAAAAGCAACTGGGCCAATAGGAAAAGGGACCAGGAACTAGAGAAAAGGTTAGATCAAAAAGACAATTAACCTAGAAGGTAACACACACGCACAGGAAATCAATGTGAGTCAATGCCCTGTATAGCTATCCTTATCTCAACCAGCAAAAACCCTTGTTCCTTCCTATTATTGCTTATACTCTCTCTACAACAAAATTAGAAATAAGGGCAAAATAGTTTCTGCTGGGTATTGAGGGGGTGGGGGGGAAAGGGAGGGGGCGGAGTGGGTGGGAAGGGAGGGGGTGGGGGCAGGGGGGTGAAATGACCCAAGCCTTGTATGCACATATGAATAATAAAAGAAAAAAAAAAGAAAAGAATAAACAAAAAAAAAAAGAAAATGTGGTATTTATACACAATGGAATTCTATGCAGCCATGAAGAAGAACGCAATGTTATCATTCGCTGGTAAATGGATGGAATTGGAGAACATCATTCTGAGTGAGGTTAGCCTGGCCCAAAAGACCAAAAATCGTATGTTCTCCCTCCTATGTGGATATTAGATCAAGGGCAAACACAACAAGGGGATTGGACTTTGATCACATGATAAAGCGAGAGCACATAAGGGAGGTATGAGGATAGGTAAGACACCTAAAAAACTAGATAGCATTTGTTACCCTCAATGCAGAGAAACTAAAGCAGATACTTTAAAGCAACTGAGGCCAATAGGAGGAGGAGACCAGGAACTACAGAAAAGGCTAGATCAAAAAGAATTAACCTAGAAGGTAACACACATGCACAGGAAAGCAATGAGAGTCAATTCCTTGTATAGCTATCCTTATCTCAACTAGCAAAAACCCTTGGTCTTCTATTACTGCTTATACTCTCTCTTTCAACAAAATTAAGAGATAAGGGCAAAATAGTTTCTGCCAGGTCATGAGGGGTGGGGGGAAGAATAGGGGGTGGGGGGTTAAAGAGGGGGTGAAGGGGGAGAAATGACCCAAACATATTATGCACATATGAATAAAAAAAATGAGGAGCTTTAGAAATTATATAAACTCACTGAGCATCAGTGCTCACACCTGTAATCCTAGCTAATCAGGAGGCAGAGATCAGTAAGGATCGTGGTTCAAAGCCAGCCCTGCACGCTAGTTTTTGAGATCCATCCCAAACAACTCACCCGCGACAAAAAAAACGGGCTAGTGGAGTGGCTCAAGGTGAAGGCCCTGGGAGGGGGAGGGGAGAAGGGAGAGTAATGACCCAATCATTGTATGCACATATGAATAAAGGAAATTAAAAAAAAGAAGTTATAGAACCAAGGATAGATAAACTATAGAACCCCAGGGATAAAATCATAGTTATTTGATCTAGAAAATCTCATGTCTAACATCGCCCTGACAAAAAAAAAAAAAAGTGAAGGCCCTGAGTTCAAATCCCAGTGCCACAAAAAAAAATTTATGAACTCATTGGAATTAAACAACATATTCTCTCTTGCTACTCTCTCCTTTGCTTTCCTCTCTTTTGTTTGCTCTCTCCCTCTCCTCTTTTGGTTCTGGGAATTGAATCCAGGGCTTCACACATGCTATGCCATGGTTCTACCAATAAGCCATACCCCAAGCCCTGAGAATTTCTTTTAATTTAAAAAAAAAGCTGCATTTTAAATCCAACACAAAGCAGCACAGTATAAGCATGATTGTTTGTATTCAAGATGGTATCACCTTAAGGATTTCTCAAAGATCTTAGTACTTTTCTACACAAGCCCAGGAGGTCTTCAGAAAGAAGAAAACCAAAGGCCAATGACTACAACATAACATGGTCAAATGGTCTGTGGCTATTCTACAAATGTCACAAGAATAGGCATTCAAATACTGTTGAACTAGTATACAAAGTAGACTTAAACTTATTCAGCATATATAACTGCAATTTGACTTTTTTTGTCTATTTCTGAATTATTTCTTTTTCTTTTTAAGCTATTTCCGAAGAAAATTCCAAGATGCAACTGCAGAAATACTGTGGAGTCCCCATGGAAAAAGGAGATTTAAGTCAGATATATGTACACCTCCAAACTCAAGCACAGCTGCCTTTGCTAATGCTGCCCGGGTTTCAATAATGAAAGAAAAGGATTTATTTAAATTTCTTGAAGAACTCAAAAGTAAGACCCATTTTTTCCCTCCCTCTGTTTTAGAGGGTTGATTTGGGCTAGCATAGTGGCTCATACCTGTAATCCCAGCTACTCAGGAGGCAGAGATCCAGAGGACTGAGGTTCAAGGCCAGCCTGGGCAAATAGTTAGCAAAGACCCCATCTCAGACATGGTCATGTCTGTAATTCCAACTACTAGGGAGAATGTAGAGAACTGTGGTCCAAGGCCAGCCTCAGCAAAAAAACAACAAATTCCTACACAAAAATAACTAAAGCACAAAAAGGCTGAGAATGTTGACTCAAGTGGTAGAGCACTTGACTAGCAAATTCAAGGCCCTGCAGTCAAACCCAGAACCACCAAAAGGAAAAAAAAAAAAGGATTATTTGTGGTATGGCTTGGTGACAAGTAAATAGGTAAAGTCAATCACAGGGCCTGAGCCTTCTGAATAACCACTGTATGCCACATAGACATCACTTGAAGCAAAGTAACCTGATTGAGTCCTCAGACCTCTGGGAGAGCGTGGAGTGCAGATGGTAAGGAGCAGAAGCAAGAGAGCAAGAAGAGGGAAGGTCACTGAAAGAAGAATGGACAAGGAGAAAAACACATCATTTGTTTATTTTTTTGACAGAATTGGGAATCAGTCCCAGGGCCTCACACATGCAAGGGAAGCACTGAGCCTTACACATCAGTCTTACACACCTGGAACTCACTGTGTAGCCCAGGCTGACCTCAAATTTGTGATCCTCCTGCCTCAGCTAGCCAAGTGCTGGGACTACCAGCATGCACTACAATGCCTGTATCATGTCTGTCTTTTGTGGGAACTTCTTAAATTGTTTGTGATAATATTTTTGTTTTTATCTTTAGGATGCAATCTCTCTTCAGATAGTCCATACTCAAAAATACCCATCTTCCCATTGTTTCCTGATGTGGATGGAGTGGTGATGGGAAAGCCATTCAAAGACATACAGAAGTTAGAAATGCTAAAGAGAAAGGAGCCTCTGACTTTCTTTGAGGACTATTTTTTCCATAAAAGAGACTGGAAAACACAGGTGAGATTTATATTATATCCCATTAGTCAATTTTAAAAATCTAGATTTTTAAGCACCAACTCAACAGAACTAATAACATGCTTTTTATTTAAAAAACATCTTTATTCACTATATTTCAAACCAGATTCCATAATCATGTTCCTAAACATAAGCCCAGGAGTATATATTTCACTTAATCTCAACAACTCATTAAATTTACTGGAAATGAATCCTAGCTTCTGGGTTGAGATGAAGAATGTAAGAATACACAAACTGCCTCAGTTTACCTGGACTGCTGTCTCATCAACTCATGGACCAGCAGCTGCACCTTGGACTCCCTCAACTCAAGACAGCATGGGGTGGGAGGACCAGGTCCACATTGATGGAGCAATGCTGTGATGGAGGGACCATCTTGCCCCTGACTAGAACCCCACTTAAGGTCCCAGCTGAACCTTCTGACCCTGCCTCAGGCTCTGTTGCCTCTAACTATTTGTCCCTATATACTGTGTCATCATGAGTTTTTGTTTTATTTTGTTGTTGTTTTGTTTTTTCTTTTTTGGTACTGAGATTGAACCCAGGGCCTCATGCAGGCTAGGCAAGTGCGCTACCACTGAGCTACATCCCAGCCCTGTTGGTTTTTTTTGAGACAGGATCTCAGTATGTAGTCCAGGCAGGCCTGGAACTAAGCTGGTTTCAAACTGGCAATTCTTCTGCCTCAGCCTCCTGAGTGCTGGAATTACAGGCATGTGCCACCACATCCTAAATTTTAAGGTCTATAATACAAATAGTTTTTTAGTCATAGCATATTATATGCTGTATTGTTGCCAATAATAATTTCTGTGAGTACTGGAATTTGAACTCAGGGCTTTGCGTATCCTGGGCAGGCTCTAAACCATTTGAGCCATGCCTCTATTATTGTCTCCAATAATCTTAGCAGAAATAGTCCCCTTGCGTCTACTTTTGTCCCTTTCAATCTATTTTCAACATAGAAGCCAAAGTGGCTGTGTTAAGATCAGCTTAAGACCATACCTTTGGTGGTGTACTTCCCTAATCCTATCCACTCCAAAGGCAAAGACAAGGATCATGATTCAAGGCAACCCAGGCAAAAATTATCAAGATCTTATCTCAAAAACAAGCCAGGCATGCTAGTACATATCGGTAATCCCAGCTACTTCAGAGGCAGATGTAGGAGGACCCCAGTTTGAGTCCACCCCAAAGTTAGAAGCCAGCCCAGACAAAGTTAGAATGAGACTCTACCTTTAAAACAAACTAAAAGCAAAAGGATTGCAGGTGTGCCTAGCAAGTGTGAGGGTCTGAGTTCAATCCCTAGTTCTGCAAAACAAAATCAGCTCAGAGTCCTCCAGTAGCTTTTTACAGAGCTCAGAAGAAAAGCCAAAATCTCTATAATAACTTACAAGGTCTTACCTAATCTAAACCCAAGAGCTCTGCTGAGCATGGTGTTGCATATGGATAATCCCAGCACTCAGGAGGCTGAGGCAGGAGGATCTCAAGTTCAAGGTCAGCCTGGACTACATAGTGAGACTCTGCATCAAAATAAATACATAATAATAACATAATGACAACCCAGAGACTTCCAATAAGTCTCAACTAGTGGTTGTTTAAATAATTCAAATTAAATAAAGCTGCAAATCCAGTTCCTCAGTCCTACTAGCCACATTTCAACTGCTCAGTACCCATACGTGAGTGATGACTACCATGTTAGATGGCACATAGAATATTTCCATCACTGGGGACAGTGCTGTTGACATCACTGGTCTACACTTCATTGCCTTCATTGTCCAACAATCTTAGCTTGCACTGATTTGCCTCCAGCACGCTCCACTCCACCTGCAAGGCCTCTGCTGTTCCTCTGACGCAGCACACACTCACACTTCCATGTCATGCTCTGGTTTTGCTGGTTCCTCCCCTCCAATGCCATTCCCCACATATCTGTGCAGCGCTCTCCCTCACCTCTTTCAGGTCTTTCCCAACTAACACTTCAGGAGGTCCCCTTAACAGCCCTGTTAAAATCATAATTGTACATTGTCAATATACTAATGTCACTGAATTGTTCACTTCAAAGGTTAATTTTATGGTACATGAATTTTCATCTCAATAAATTATTTTTAGATATATATTTAAATAAAAACATAACCTCCAATATTCCGTCCCCTTCCCTGATTTTTCCATAACATTTATTACTAATATACTACATATCACATCTACATGTTACATATTTATATTTATTATACTATCTGTATACAAGAATATGTGTCTACATCTATACCCACATCTATTATATATACAGTTATAAATATTATAGTATATTAATGTCATAAATATCTATTAAGATATGTACTATATTTGTAATTTTATAATACATGCACAAATATATAGTATATTACATGTAATATATACCACATTGTAATCTGCAATATACCATGTAGTATATTTAATGAAATATCTTATATATATTGTATCTAGTGAAATATTCTATATATTTATTACTGTTAATTAGAATCAAGAAATGGTACTGTCAAGTTTTAGGATGAAAGAAACAGGGCTACATAAACACTCCCCCACCTATCTACCCTTTCCCCATTACCCACCCCATACACAGACTCCCTGTGACCACATAAAAATAGTGAAAGAAGGCCAGGCACATGCCTGTAATTCTAGTCACTTGAGAAATAGAGATTGGAAGATTGCAGCTCAATGCCAGCCCAGGCAAAAAGGTAATGAGACCTCCATCTCAACCAATTTAAACTGGGTGGATGCTACACAGGAAGCATAAATAGGGGGAATGCAGTTCAAGACCCTATTCAAAATGTAACAAAAATGAAAAGGTTCAAGTGATAAAATAAGTGCTGCCTAGCAAGCATGAGGCCGAGTTCAAATTCCAGTACTGCCAAAAAAGAAAAAAAATAAATGAAATAAAATGACATTCAAAAATCCCTATGTTTCAGAAAACAAGAGAGAACTTAAAGCCAGAACAGTAATTTTTAAAATGATCCTGGAAGTGGCCAGAGAGGAGACACAGATAGAGCACATAAATCTTGGCCCTAATGGCTAGGGTAAGAAGGTGTGAACCCTGAGAGGTAAGGAACTAGCATTGAGACCACTACAAAAACCAGAATCTGGGAGGGCTTCCCTCTCAGTGCACAGGCCCAAGATGGACATGTTCAAAGCTCTGAATGGAGAAAAAAATATTCTGTGAGAAATTTTAAACTTGAGGTATAAAATACATGGATATGAAATCTAAATTCATAATTTCCACATTCGATGAAATCTCCAAGCTCAGAAATTACCCTGAAATCTGGTTTCAGAACATAGCAACCTTGGGAAGTCATATATATACAAATAAATAACCTTTTAAAAATATATAAAGGAATAGAGACCATAAAGGGGGATAAAAACATACAATGAGGGAAAAGAGCTGATTTGAAAGAGCCAAATGGAACTTCTAGAGATGAAACATACAGTATTGAAATGTTTTCAAAAATGTATTAGCAGATTATACACAGTAAGAAGATAGTGATCTGAAAGTCAGGACTGAGAATGAAGTACATAGAAAAACAAAAGGAAGGGCTGGTGGAGTGCCTCCAATGATAAAGTGCCTGCCTAGCAAGTATAAGGCCCTGAGTTCAAATTCCAGTGCCACCAAAAAGAAAAGAAAAACTAAAGGGAAAGGGTAATAAACATGGCTGGTAGCAGGAGTAAGTCCAACACAAAAGGAAAAGAGATCAGTGTGGAATAGAAAAGATCAATGTGGAATAGAGTGGAGGAGGAGCACAATGGACATAGACAATGGCTGAGAATTCTGCAGATTGATCATCATCTAAACTGATGAAAGACATGGATTCTTAGGTTGAAGAAACATTCTGGAGCAAAATGCACAAAAGTAAACCCAACTTGAAACATTGTAGGGAAGCTAAAGAACATAAAGAAAACGTAAAAGCAACCAGAGAGCTGGACCCAGTGGCCCACACCTGTGGCCCCAGCTACTCCAGAAGCTGAGACAGGAGAATTGCTTGAGCCCAGGGGTTCAAGATCAGCCTGGGCAACACAGTAAGACATCCCCCACACCCACCAAAAAAAAGAGAGGGAAGAGATTACTTGGAAATGAACAGGGTTGAGGAAGTAGCTCAGTGTAAAGCATGTTCTTAGCATGCATGAAGTCCTGGTGTTCAATCCCCAGCACCACAAAGGAGGAGGAAGAAAGTGCTAAATGAATAGGCAAATCCATAATAAGTGGGAAATTTTATCATGCATCTCCAGAAACTGATAAAGCAGACAAAAATAAATAAATCAACTCCACTCACATGAAATTTACCTGCTAAGGAAGACAGTAGAGCTACAGCTTGATGTAGAATCAGGATCTAGAAAAAGTTGCTTCACAACTTGAGATGCTTGAGCACATTTTTAGACAGGAGGAAGGACATGGTTCTTAATCTTAGTTGTGCAATAGAGAGAGAACTTTTTAAAACTTGTGCTCAGGGGCCAAGTACAGTGGCTCATACCTATAATCCCAGCTACTCGGGAGGTGAAGATCAGGAGGATCACAGTTCAAGACCAGCCAGGGCAAAAAGTTAGGGAGACCCCCCCCCCAGTCTCAGCAAATAAGCTAGGTATGGTGGCACACATCTGTAATTCCAACAACATAGGACAGACAAGTGGTAGAATACTTGCCTAGCAAGCACTAGTCTCTAAGTTCAACCCCCAGTACTGCCAAAAAAAAATGCTCAGAACTCAACTCTATCCCATTAGTCAGAAGTGCCAACATGCAGTCAAAGATGAAAAGCACTATTTAAAAGAAACAAAAATTGAATGTAAGAGAGGAGGCAGGACTGGCTACATAATTTGCAGGGCCCACTGCAAAATGAAATTGTAGGTAGAAAAAAAAATGTAGGCCCCTTCTTCAAAAATAATCAAGAGGAGCTGGGCATGGTGGTACTTGTCTATAAACCCAGCTACTCAGGAGGCAGAATACAAGGATCTTGGTCTAAGGCCAGCCCAAACAAAGGCACAAGATCCTAACTGAAAAACTAAAAATGCAAAAGGACTTGAGTGTGTGATTCAAGTGAAAGCCATGAGTTCTACCCTCAGCACCTCAAAAAAAAGAAATCTAGGGGTCCAGTGGTAGAGCACATGCTTATCATACATGAAGCCCTGGGTTCAATCCCTAGCACCAAAAGGGAAAATAAATCAAGAATTTCAAGATGCTGGGCACCAGTGGCTCATGCCTGTAATCCTAGCTACTTGGGAGGCAGAGATCAGGAGGATCACAGTTCAAAGTGAGCCTGGGCAAATAGTTTGTAAGACCCTATCTCGAAAAACAACAATACATAAAAGCACTGGCAGAGTGGCTCAAGTGGTAAAGCACCTGCCTAGCAAGTGTGAGGCCCTGAATTCAAACCCCAGTACTGAAAAAAAAAACACAATTTCAAGACAAGCTGAGCATGAACACACTATAATCCCAGAAGGATCAAGAGTTCCAAGGGGCTACCTAGCTAATTTGAGATTAGCCTGGGCTATATAGTTAAGTTCAAGGCCAGCCCAGGCTACACAGTGATACTCTGTCTAAAAGAAAAAAGAAAGAATTTCAAGATACCAACAGCAAAATATTAAACCAAATGCCCGGCCCTCTTAAATGGAAGGCCCTGTGACTGTATGGACGTATGCCATGAAGGTAGTCCTAGAGAAGGGAAAAGTGAAGGATTAAAGTAAGGAGCTAAATAAAGCCTACAGGGGAAGATTTTAGCTTTGGAAATTAGAAAAAAAAACACAGGAGGAAAAAATAGGTTAAAGAATGGAGAATTCATAAGGTAGAAGATGAGTTAAGAGAATTCCTGTAGGATAGCTTTACAGAGACAAGATCAACAGCTGAGAGAGTTGGAAGGCCTGGCTTTCCAGCAGCCATGATAAGCGCAGTAAGAGCATTAACAGTGAAGGAAGGAATGTGAATCAGTAATGAAGGCCTGGGTAAGATTAGATCATACACCTTTTCAAAGAAACTGAGCAATACATTTATGTGATTTCTTCCTGCCTTGTTCAACAGCCCAGGAACAGGGAACACAGACACTGGTTTCTGTGAGAAGTTTGGGAGTAATAGAGGCTGGACTCTGCGGAGGGCACCTTCACATGCCTTGAAATTCTTGATTTTTTTTTTTTTTTTGGTGCCAGGATTGAACCCAAGGCCTTGCAAATTTATATATGACATTCACACATGCCACCATGCTGGTGCTCTCCCACAAATGACAAATGGTTTAACAACAATCTTATAACGCCATTCATAAACCCTCTCATAATAAAATATAGCTCTGGTTATTATGTCTTTGTTGTATAACTCAAACTAAGATGTATTACTAACCTTCTTTTTTCAAATGTGCATACAGGCAGCAAATATAAAGCCCATCAATCCTTCTTCAGGCTATTCAGATGAAATCCTTGCCATTGACCAGCTATTCAAGAAAAAGCAGACTTGGACAGTGGCTGATGCAGCTGCTATCAAACAGCACGTGAGTAGTCATCATTGGATGACTTCCCAGAAAGTGTCGTCAAAAGTATTTTCCATTTCAACACTATCCCATAAAACCAAACGAATTTTTTATCTGTTCCCTGTCTAAAATGAGACAGAGATGGCTTCTCATTTTATACACTGTAATGACAACATTTCTTGCTCTGTAATCAAATGGATTGAAATGTGTTATGATTCATCCTGCTAATCACCTACATAGCTATACCCAGCATCATTTCTGGGATGCTGGATTTTCATGAGGAAAGAGTTCTGCCCACCTACAGTGAGATTACTAATTTACAAGGTTAAGTCTAAGGGCCTGCCACTCCATCGTTATTCCTTCCTCCCACTTTAAACGTGACACTCCAGCAACACCAAAGTGCCTGAACCCTCCATTCAACTCTAGGACGTTTATTACCTTCAGCCTTTGTATTTTTTGTTTGTTTCTTTGTTTTTTGTGGTGCTACGTTTGAACTCAGGGCCTATACCTTGAGCCACTCCACCAGCCCTTTTTCATGATGGGTTTTTTCAAGATAGGGTCTCAAGAACTTTTTGCCCAGGCTGGCTTGGAACTGTGATCAGCCTGATCTCTGCCTCCTGAGTAGCTAGGATTACAGGCTTGAGCCCAGCTCAGCCTCTATTTATGCTGCCTCCTCTACCTCAATTTTATCAAATCCTTAAGGATTTACTCAACTCAGCATCTTCTTCCAGGTGGTTCTCCCCGTCCTAGGCTGAAACTGGTACCGATTATATATTCCAATTCCATTGTACACATCTCCCTATTTTAATCCATTATATTGTTTATATTTTTATAAAAATTATTATTTCATTGTTCCCAAGTAATACCTTTTTATTTCCATCAACTCCTAGCTCACACATCCCCAAGAGGTGCTATGCAGTGTATACTCAGTGATTTCAAATAAATAACTCTTGGGACATCTGTAATTACAATAAATCAAAAATATTTGAAGGAGCTAGGCACTGGTGTCCCATGCCTATAATCCCCGCTACTTGGGAGACTGAGATCAGAGGATCATGGTTCCACCCTTGGCTGGGCACATAGTTCTTGAGACCCATCTCCAAAATAACCAGAACAAAGTGGACTAGAGGTGTGGCTCAAGTGATAGAACACCTGCTTTGCAAGCACAAAGCCCTGAGTTCAAACCCCAGTCCCAGCAAAATATATATACATGAAAGTAAGTGAACTTCTGCTCTCTGTTATAGGTGAAGAAAGCTACAGATTCCTATAACCTAGGAATTGCCCTTGAACACCAAAAAGAAATGCTTCATCTTTGGCAGAAGATCCGAGGGGATCTGGTTGGAATAGACACTAAAAATGAGTCTTTTTATGACACCTTTTCTACTTATGCATGGTCCTGGAATGTTTGCCAAGAGTTACTTTCTCCTAAGGACTTACGGTTACATGATGCCTACGTGAATAGAAATTCTTCCCATAATTCCAGATTCCCTTCCTGCTCAGATATCAGTGAATGTGACATAGAGATTGGAAGAAAAAGAAAACGGAAAGGTTTCAAGGGGTTTCAACAATGAAATTTCTACATTTTCAAAACTGTTCATCGAAAACTACTTTTTCATAATTATCAAAGTTATGGTTTCTTGCTTTTGTCTAGTACATTCTTGGCAGGTGGAAATTTTGACATCTTTTGGATTCTAACCAGTAAAAAAGTTTAAGTCATAAAATGGTTTCCCCTTCATAAATCTTTACTAGCAAGTAGATGTTATGCTGTTAGTGCCAGTTGCTCTCTGCTGCTCTGACCTGGATCAAAACTGCCAGGGCCTCAGCAGAAAGAAAAATAGCTGGGCTGAGCTCCTGAGGACCCTCCAAACAACAAGCATCTGAGTTTCTGGTGACTGTAAATGGGATTAGGTTTTCAAATGTTTGTAAAAGAGGCCAGAGTCAGAAAATGATAACCTTTCAGTTTTATGGAATGTCACCAGCCTCCTGCGTATCTTGGTTAAATTTAGGTGTTCCTAAAGTTCCTTAGCCACACACATGCACACCTCTCACTTGGATTGCTCTTACAAATAGCTGAGCCTCAGCTATTGTGTTTGTTGTTGTTCTTTCATGCATCTGATAAAGAAGCACAGATATAACTATATTACAAATTTGTGGGAAGGTTTTTATTGTGGCAAAATCTAATTACATAAAATGTACTATTTAATGATATTTAAGTGTGTATTATCCATTACATTTCTATTCTTCCTAGTTCAATCTTAGGGCATTTTCTATGATTCTTGAGGGTTTATCAAAGAGAGACAGACAACTCTTGG